GGGGGGGGGGCGGGAGGGCGAGCAGCGGGCAGAGGGGCGGGCGTGGTGATGGGCGCGGGCCCGGAGCCAGCCCTTAGCAGCTTATGCCTTATTTTCACCTGTTCATCGCGCTCCCATTGCTACATTGGCGCCGGGCCACTCAGCTCAAAACCGGCCGTCTACCGGCCCCCGTTCGCCCCGTCACCCGCCGCCCTCCCCCGCCGCAGGTCGCTCTGCAGCTACACGCACCCTTCGCTCGCGGCCGCGGGCGCGGCGGCGCCCGCGTTCAACGCCCTCGACCCTCTGAAGCGGCGTGTGCAGGAGCAGGTCAAGCTGCACTTCTGCGACCTCTGCCTGAAGGGCCGCAAGGTGCGGCCCCAGCTGCAGCGCGCACGCCGTGTGCCCAGCGGCGCGGCCGGGCCGCCCTGGCGCCCGCGCCCGGCGGCCGTGGGCGGCGCGGGCGGCCCCTTGGCCCCTGCTCTGCGAGCTCGCGCAGCAACGCTGGTCCGTTGTTGTTAGCTGGAGGACAGCCCTGCAACGGGTGGACAGCCCACGCCTCCCGCCATGCAACCAATCATCTTGTTTCCTCCATACCCGGCCCCTCTCAGCGCGCCCCTTGCCCCTGCTTACTGCTGCGCCGCGTGAACACACACACCCACACACACATACACACACACCCCCACACACACACACGTCCGCGCACACACGCACACACAAACAGGTGTTCATCAGCGAGCAGGTGCTGTACAGCCGCCGTGACCTCGACCGCCACAACCGCACCGGCGACGACGCCGGCCCCCTGGCCGAGGCCGGCTTCAAGGGCCACCCGCCCTGCCACTTCTGCAAGCAGCGCTTCTACGACAGCGGGGAGCTATACAACCACATGGAGCGCTCCCACGAGCACTGCTTCATCTGCCGCCGCGCCCACCCGGGGAAGTACGTGTACTTCCGGGACTACGCTGAGCTGGACGCCCACTTCCTGTCGGACCACCACCCCTGCCCGCACCCGGCGTGCATAGAGCGGCGGTTCGTGGTGTTTCAGGGGGAGGCAGAGCTCAAGCGCCACTTTGCTGCGGAGCACGGGGAGGAGATGCGCATGTCGCGCGCGCAGCGGCGCGAGGCGCTGGCCGTGCCAGTCAACCTCCAGTTCGCGCCACGCGCCGCCGGCGGCGGCGGCGGCGGTGGCGGCCGCGGGCGGGGGCGCGGCGGGCGCGGCGGGGAGCGGGAGGAGCCGGAGGCGCAGCTGCCGCCGGAGCGGCAGGGCGTGGTGATCGGCGGCGGCGCGGGCCTGGCGCGTGGGGGCGGCGGCGGCATGCGGCACAGCCGGTCGGAGACGGCGATGGCGGCGGCGGTCGCCGCGAGCGTAGAGACCGCGGGCGCAGAGGCCATTCGGCGGTCAGCGGCGGAGGCGCAGGCGCAGGCGCGGGCTCGCGAGCAGCAGCAGCAGCAGCCGCAGATGGGCAGCGTCTCGTTCAACGCCGCGGACTTCCCCGCCGTCAGCGGCGGCGGCGGCGCGAACGCGCCCGGCGGCGGCGTGGCGCTCGGGACGTGGGTCGCCGCGTCGGGGGCGGGGCCGAGCACGAGCGGGGGCGTGGGGGGCTCTTTGGCGGCGGAGGACTTTCCGGAGCTTCCGACAATGTCGAGGGCCCAGAAGCAGCGCCAGAAGCAGAAGTCAAAGGCCGCGGCGACGTCACTCGCGGCGCGCATGGCGACCGCAGCGGCGCCGCCGCGCGTGGTCAACAGGGCGACGCCCTCGGCTGCGTCGGCCGCGGCGGCGGGCGCGAGCGGGTCGGGCGGGGCCAGCCTGCACGTGAGCCGCTCTGCGGGCGACCTGGGGGCAGCAGCGCGGCCGCTGACGCCGCCCGGCAACGACGCCGGCGAGGGCGCGGCCGCGGCCGACGGTTTCCCCGCACTCGGCAGCGGCGCAGATGCGTTGGGGCAGGCGCACCCCTCTTGGG